CAGGACAAACCAAGTCAAGAAACCATAAGTATCAAAATACAGACATCCCAAAAAATCAGAGTATCACAAAAATAAGATATCATGAAACTACCGAAGAGAGTGTACAATCAAACCTTCGCCTTCCCATGGTCATCTGAAGTACCTGAAACACATTTAAATCCACAACTGTATACGCGAAGCTTAGTGAGTTTCCCAAAATATCACATACAACACAACATAATAAACAACTATGAGTTATCAACAACAACCCTATGGATTATCAGCAACTCTGTGGACTATCAGTAGTCTTGGATTTATCAGCAACTCCCTAAACACACATAATATCAATCAGCAAATAGGACTCAACTAGTCTAGAATACACCCTACTATGACATATGTAATATAGTGAGAAGACTCGCGTTGCAAATAATAGGCTAACACAATAGCTCTCAGATAGAGGAGACCAGTACTACGAGACAGCTAAACATAGTATACGAGTACCCTCTCAGTCTACACCCTAAAAACCTTAAGTTGACCAAAATCAACAATGGTCAAAAAGTCAATGGTCAAAAAGTTAACGGTCAAAGTCAGCCCCAGCTGATCCCCACATCATGGATACCCAATGGCTACGCCATGGCAACATTGAGACAAATCAGTCATAAAGACTATCTATCGCCACGTCGTGGTGATCAACCCGTCACGTGGTGGATGGTGCTCAGATCAACTTAATGCCAATGTTTTAAAAACCGGTTTTTTAGTTGAACCGGTATGGTGACCGGTTCCCGGTTCAACCGGTTTAACCGGTTCGACCGCCGGGTTAACCGGTATCTATAATTTTCATATTTTTTCCTATTTTTCTATACATCTCCCTATTCTAATAAAAGAATAATTTTAATCTTTTTTTTAACATGTGTCATCCTATTAGGTCTCTTAATTAATGTATATTTTATTCTTCTTTTGACATGTGTCACCCTATTAGGTCACCTAATTAATGCATGCCACTTATCAACCTATTAATTCTCCATTTCAAATTTCAAAATTTAAATTTACCACTCTAATTAAATTAAATTAATAACATTTGAATAAAATTAAAATAAAATTAATAAAATTATAAGATGATATAATTTCACGTATTTATTTAAATTAACGATTATAATTTTATATAACTAAAAAAATATCTTTTTATTAATAATTTATTTAAAATAATTGATTAATAATTTTGAGTTCTCATTATAAAAGTTTAATTAATTTTGTAACCGTGGTTCCCACGGGTTATAAACTAGTACATTCATATATAAATAATGAATTTGACATTTACAAGTTCAAACATTAAAAATATATATAAAAATAAGTTGTGGATCAATTCAAATACATTAAAATAACACATAACCATAACTTTTAGTTTTTACATCAATCCATATACGTAAAAAAAAAAAAAATATAATACCGAAACAAAACATAGTTTTAGATGAATACAAACACATCAAAAAACTTTATAACATTTATCATATGTTTTTATTTAAAGAAAACTAAATAAATTTGAAAAAAAAATCATCAAAGTTTATTATACAAATTATTCTTTTCCATGTATTTTTATTCGGTTTAACCGGTTTATTTTGACCGGTTTTCAACCGGGTTTTTCTAAAAACCGGCCGGTTCAGTCCGGTTCAGAAATCGACATAAAATCGGTGATAATTGAACCGCTTCCTCTCCCGGTTCCTGGTCTAACCGGTTCGACCGGCCGATTCAAACCGGTTTTTAAAACATTGCTTAATGCATTAAACTCTTAATCCTTCAAGCCACTTATTGGTACGTCCCAGAGGGCTTTCTTACTCCCAATACTCCATAAAAATCACTGCTTTATAGACATGCATGTTCAATGTATGTCTTGAGCTCAAATTAGGTCAAAATGGTGAAAATAAAATTAAAATCTCATGCATGAAACTCATAAATCAATAACTCTTTAGATCTGGGACAAGAGGCCACAAAGGAACCTCAAGGACTCATAAAGTTGCTACTTTATGAAATCCCAACACTCAAACAATCTCAAACATAGAGGAAAATGGATGAAAACCAGATCTAGCATGCTTGGACATAAAAGGTAGGAGCTTGGGGACTTATAAGGGTCCAAAAGCTACACAAGATGATGAGGGATAGGTCTGCTTGCTGGAACAATGCTCAAGAACACCTTCTTCTTCTTCTTAAAGATCACAAAACACCATAAGCTTCAAAATGTCAAAAATGGAGGCTAGGGTTTCTTTAAGGGTGAAAGGGAGGTGATGGAGGCTACGGGTGTGCAAACCCTAACCCTCACTTCCCTTAAATAGGGCACAAACCTTGGAATTAGGGTTAAGCACTCAGGCGGCCACCACGTCGTAGCCATAAACTTGCCACGTCGTGGTGCATAAGAATGATGCACATTTCTTACGGCCATGACCACGTTGTGGTCATCACAAAATCCAAGTTTACTTCTTTAATTCCCAAAACATAAATGAGCATTTACTTGGAATGGATGTTACATGCGTGTTTAGCTAAGGACTAGTTCCGTTTTGGCTAGAGGTTTCTTGTGTTAGCTGTTTTTGTTGTTGAGGTTGCTGTGAGCTTCTGTTGTTTAGTTTAGGTGAGTTTTCTCACTATGCTACTTACATCATGTATTGTATTCAGTTGCTAATAACTCAAGGCTGCTGATAGTCCATATGCTTGCTGATAATCCAAAGCTATTAGGGCTGCTGATAGCCCTTTGGGTTGCTGATAACCCATAGCTGTTAGAGTTGCTGATAACTCATGGTTGCTGATAACCCATAGCTGTTATATATATTTAGCTGTGCTATGCTATATATGATGTTTTAGAGAACTCATTGAGCTTTGGATTATAGTTGTGGTTTAAAACATTTTTGAGGTACTTCAGATGATCGTGAGAAGGCGAAGGCGTAACTGTATACACACATTAGCAGTTTTATGATTTGAGATTCTGCGATATTTTTGTTATAACTCTGATTTATGGATTTTAGTCTATGAACAAATGGGTTTTCTTTGAATGTACCTTATAAAAATGAGTGTTTATGCTAGTTTAAAAATGATTTTTTTTCTTCTGAAAAATGGGATGTTATAATTTAAAATTAGAGTACATTTCTAGGATAACCGAGAACTTGCGTCCGATGCTAACTAGCAGTGTCTACATAATTTTCAAGCAATTCCATGTAGGTCTCAATTAGGCTGAACTCATTATCAATCATTTGCACTCATTCTTCTGTTGTTGCACTTGTCCTACGTGCTTTTTCGATGATGTCCAATGCGTTTACAAACTACCGTATATCTTCAGACATCGTAATGATGAGCATTTGCATATTATATAATGCTAGCTTTCTATGCTCCTCGACTGCATAAGGCGGTAATGAGATTTTCAGTATTACCATTCGTTGTTTCGCACCTTGATAATCACAAATCATTTCTAACGCAGTCGTATCAACAAAACGTCATTTCTCGTTTTCAAGACGTAGTATTTCATATTCTATTGGCAACACATCGTCATCACTTAATTCACTATATGTTGGAGAGTGAAATTAAAAACTATTAAAATACGTAGTAAAAACCAACTTGCATAAACGTATCCAAAATTAAAACCAACTTGTAGAAACGTATCCACAATAAAAATTATAAATTCACAATTAGTCTAAAATAACAGGTTTGTCTAAACTTGCTCCGGTTCCATCTTTCGGAGTTCTGTTTGCTTTCAGTTTAAGCTTTAACACCTTTCTAATTTTTTTCTTAATTTTATAGGTGCCTTTGGTGGTTTACTGTTTATTATTTTTTTGTCTAACTCCACAACTTGTTATTTTATCTGCAAAACAAAATTCCAACAACATTTTTACATATTACCATAAAAATAAAATAAAATACTTATTACATTTTTTTAAACTCGGTTTTACCTTTATCAGATGCAATTATGAAAACTTATATAAATGGAATACAATTTCTTCATCCGTAAAATCCATTTTTTTTAACAACATCCACACAAACTGGTATTTGGACTAATACAAGTTATTTAACAATATTAGAAACGAAAAAAATTGAATATTTATTCTGGAGTGTTATTCCATAATTAATCTTCATATTCCGGACTACGTTCTTGGTATTTCGGAGTGATATTATTTCCCGACTAAAAAATGATCTTAAACACATTTTAAGATATTTATATGGGTCTTATATGTCTAAAACAAAAAATGCATAAAGTTGATATTTCGGACATGATCTACGCATTCCGAAATACATATAATTGGTTGAAAACTTAAATGCAAGTAACTTAAATAGTAGAACTCATCTGATTTGATAAATTTATGGTAAAAATTCTCTCTCCGAAATATGGGTAGCACAAACTTTGGAATTTCAAAATCCGGAATGTTTATTTCGGATTTTAGGGTGTGATCCCTATTTATATAGCATCGAGCTACAATTGCGGGCTTGGTCCGTTTTCGTCAGGTCCGTAATGGATATTCCGGACACAATGATTATTTAAAAAAAATGATTATTTTTGTTAACTATAAATTAAAATTAAAATATGGTTATGTTACTCAATTTTCTTTAAAAAATATTCATCGTGGTGATTTTTGTTTGTTTTATTTGTTTTATTTTTTATTTTTTGAAAAAACATTGACTTACCAGGTAAAAACTAAGTTAACGATGAAGATAAAAAATAAATATGTATACTACTATTTTATGGGTTTAACACAATCCACAATTCTTGAACTTGGTATCATTTAACTACAAATATGAACTCTTATTCTACCAACCACGCAAATGTGGCCTCGGAACAGTTGATCTTTTTGCAGGAGGTTGTTGTACAGATATAATTATAAACCATCATCGTTATGGGTGAGTGTTGCATTTTGTATTAATATTGACTCCACTATAAATCCTTCATCAAACCCCCTCTTCATACATCATCAAACCCACTCTTCATACATCATCAAACTCAAACTTCTACATTCGGTTTCCGTTCGATTTCTGTCTTTCTTCTTCCAATGAAGTTCAGTCTTGTCCACGTTTCCACACTTCTTTCTGTGAGTATACATAAATTGTTGGTATCTTCAAAATCTGAATCTTTAATGTCTTTCTGCAACACAAATGTCTTTCTCTCAAATGAACTGCATACAATGTGTTTCTTCTCCATGATATATCAGCTAATTAAAGCTGGAACATCTTGAGATGTGTATATATATATCTATAGTGTGCGTGTGTGTATATATGTTTGAAACTTTGGGGTTAATTAATCTCGGTTATGTTTATTTATTTGTGGTTTGAATATCAGCTAGCACTTCTGGGATGCCATGCAGTGACTCCTGATGTTTACTGGAAGTCTATGCTGCCAAACAGTCCTATGCCCAAATCAGTCAAGGATCTTGTGCACACTGCAGGTTAATTAATCTCTATTAATTCTTTCTTGCTCCTCATGCATTGTTTTCTGGATCGATATAACTTAATTTGTTGATTTATAACAGGATGGACGGACGAGAAGTACACCATGGTCGGAGTTGGGAGTCGTGGTGTGGAGGTGGGCGCCGGAACACCAGGGGATCAAACGGATGTTGGTGTCGGAAGAGGTGGTGTTGCTGTGCATACAACCCACAGAGGGAAGCCCGTTTGCGTAGGTGTACATCCAGGACCCGATCCATTCAATTACCTCTACGCTGCCTCTGCTGATCAACTCAAAGATGATCCAAATGTAGCTTTGTTCTTCTTGGAAAACGACTTGCATCACGGCAAGGAAATGAAGTTACATTTCACAAAAGTAGACCCAACCCAAAAACCAAACTTTTTACCTCGACAGATAGCTGACTCGATACCCTTTTCATCAAACAAACTTCCACAAATCTACAACAAGTTCTCGATAAAACCCGACTCACTGGAAGCTGAAATCATGAAGCAAACACTAACCCAATGTGAGAGCAAAGGCATCAAAGGTGAGGAAAAATATTGCGCAACCTCATTAGAATCCATGGTGGATTTTAGTACTACAAAGTTGGGTAAAAAAGTGAAAGCGATCTCAACAGAAGTAAATGTTAAAGAAAGTACTCCATTGCAGAAGTATACGATTGAGGGAGCTAAGAAACTTGTAGCAGATAGAGCTGTGGTTTGCCATAAGAAAAACTACGCTTACGCTGTGTTTTATTGCCACAAAACTGTTAGCACTCGAGCGTACGTTGTTTCTTTGGTGGGAGAGGATGGTACTAAAGCAAAAGCAGTAGCAGTTTGCCATACAGACACCTCGAAATGGAACCCGAAACATTTGGCTTTTCAAGTGCTTAAAGTGAAACCAGGAAGTGTCCCAGTTTGTCATTTCTTGCCTGAAGATCACGTTGTCTGGGTTCCATACTAATAAAATTAACAGGAAAAACACATTAGATAGATATTTATTATACTTTTCTTGTATAATCCTATTATCAAATTTATCACCGTTCTTTCTCCCAATTTAATTAGTGATCGTTTTGTATTAACCTCTAAGTACATTTTAACTTTATATTTATATTATATATGCTTAAAAACTAACAAATCAGATGATAGAGATTTATAATTCTTTTACAAAGACCATGGTAAATAAGTTAATATAAAAAAAGATTTTAAAATAACGGTTAATGATTTAAGAAAGTTTAAGCTAGCTAATGATATTTTATTTAATAAATTTCTTGGAAATATAATATGACAAACAAAAGTACCAAATAGCTTATTGCCCAAAGGTATTATGTGTTGTCCTATCTTAAGGTCGATGGTTAAACATTTGTTTGGGACATAAGATAGAATATAATTAGAAGCACTTCATGAATAGAATAGATTTGTCATTCAAAAAAACAAAAGTGCTATAAGGTTAATGATTGGAGCTATGCTATTTTAGAATAAGTTTATGTACGTATAAAAGGTATAAACTATATGTATACTTAAACTTACAAACATTGATAAACCGAACATACAGAAGGATGCAACAACTCCGTAAAAACAAGTGTGTGATTAGTAAAACTTTATAGATTGTCTAGAAAAGACACACACGCACTACATATATAGGTGTAAGGCGTTTTTCATGCTGTGTTTATTAGTATAGAACCCAAAGAAATCAGAAATCAGATGTTTGAAACGCCAAATGAAGAGAAACACTACAACTTTGACAATAAAAGACATCGTAAGCATTAGGATTCAGCTTTGGCAATAAAAGATACACACGCACTGCATTCAGTTTTGGCAATAAAAGAAACTACAACAATGGCAATAAAGAAATCAGAAAAATATACTACACACTACTAGAAACATGGGGTTTAGCTACAAAAAATAGTTGCGGAAAATTTCTGTAGGTAATTACCTACGGATACGGAATGGGATGCCTTAATTTCCGTAGGTATCGCCGTATACCTACGGAATACCTATGGATTGTGCCGTAGCTAAAGCCTTAGTTTTTTAGTGGTGTACTCGAAGTGAAAAATTACGCTTACCAAATTTGTAGAGATTGCAGGAAAGGAGAAACGATAAAGAAATCAGAAATAAAGATTAACCCATGTAGTGTGTACAAGATCCTTGATTGCTTTGGGCATATGACTGTTTGGCAGCATGCATGACTTGCCACCAGAAATATACACTTCCTGTAAATTAACATTAGGATTCACAGCATGACTTGCCACCAGCGCTAGCCGATGGAAGACACAAATAATTACAAATAAGTAAAATCAGATCCAAAATATCATTTTATACATACACGAACACATTTAATAATTCAAACCCGACCATAACTTTTTGGACCAATTGTTGTGCAAAAAGACATTAAAGATTCTAGATTTTTAAAATAGCCAAAAAAATTAATGATGATGAAAATATACTTACAGAAAAAAGTGTATAAACGTTGAGTAGACTCAGAGAAAAACAGAAACCAAAATCAAACTGAATGTGGAAGTTAGCGTTGGGTAACTTTCACATTCAGTTTGATTGATGTTTGAACGTGGACGTTAGCGTTTGATGATCAAACGCTAACTTCCACATTCAGTTTGATTTCGGTTTCCATTTTTCTCCAATGAAGTTCAGTCTACTCAAAGTTTATACACTTTTTTTTATAAGTATATTCTCATCATTATCAAACTTTGATGATGTATGAAGAATGGGTTTGGTGAAGTATTTATAATGGAGTTAATAAATACATAATGCCATACTCACCAAGAAAGACGCCCTGATATAATTATGGCCAACCACCGACTTCAAAGATCAAGTATGACAAACCACATATGTGAGGAAATGGCAGCAATCATATCTATGCTTGACTGCAATATTTGTTGAAGTTATAAGCTACACTCGTGATGGTTATGACAGTTATATACGTTGGTTATATTATGAGTTAATTAGTTGGTTATGGTTGTTAGTTAAGAGTATCATCAACCCTTAATATGAATGGGTGCTTTTAATGGTTGTGATAGTTCAAAAGGACCCGGTTCAGGCGAATATCCGCGTGTTGTGATTGAAAAAAACCTTTGTAATAAAAATATTAGGTTGTAAAAAATAACCTATTAATTGTCATCATGTATACTTTTTGATTTAATATTATTTTTACTATCGATTAAGTTAAATGATATAAAAGTTACTATTTTAATCATTTTTAATTTTCATCATGATGTTTTTTGAAATACAAACCATTGCTTCTAAGATAATGTAATCTTTAAATTTATATATACAGTTTTTAGTTATATGTAATTTTGATTTGATGTTTTCTTCAATTATTTGTATTGTTATTTAAGTTAAAATTTATTCTACTCAATCTAAAATAACAGTCTCTAGATATTTTAATAGTTTCTTTCACATTTAATATTATTTTTAAATCAACAAATTAAGTATATTGGGTTTAAAATTAAAAGAAATAGTATCAAAATTAAAATTATAATGAGTTTTAACTTTTTTATAAATAAATCAAATTGCAATAGTTCATAGTAAAGATTTATTTTGAACCGCATAACAAAATGTTACAAACATAAGATATATGCAAATAATTTATATTAATCAATATTATTGTTAATTAATTTTAAAATAACTTATCATCAAAACTTAATTAATAGAATAGTTTATTTTTCTTTTCATTCTAACATTAATTAACAAATAAAATAATTATTAAAAAGAACTTGAAAAATTGTGTATGTTTCAAATCAATATGGTGAAAGGAATTGTGCTTTTTTAATTATAGATAAACTAAGTGAAAACCCGCGTATTGCACAAAAATAAAAATATGATAATTAAAATTATGACAAATATAATACGTTGATTGTAATAATATGTTTATATTATTGATACTTATATGATATTAGAAATATTTATGTCATTGCTATCAATTTAGAGTTAATATTTTTTTTATATTAGTCATCTCATGAAATTGTTTCTTACTAATATTTAGTTATTCTTTATATGTTATTAATGTTATCCATCACTTCCTAGCAACATTTTAATTATTGTGGATGTCAATTTTGTTGATAAATTATAAAACAACAATAAAAGATAAGTTTCAAGTGGAATTAGAAAATTAAAAAACATTATTAAAATAACAATAAAAAAATAAACTTTAATAATAGAAACAACAACAAATGATAGGTTTCAATAAAAAAAATTAGAGAATTAAGAAACAATATTAAAATGACAAACACAATTATAAACTCTAATAACAGAAAACAATATGTAAAAAACAAAAGAAGTTTAACATGAAGAAAAAAATAGAACAAAAGACATAATAATAATAATCTGTTTGACGAAAATGCTTATCAAACAACCATATTATTGTTCATGTTCTATCCCATGAAATAAAACTTCGTGTCTTCTTAACTCTTTTATCCCTAATCTTATTTTTAAAATCCTAATAATTTAATCTCCATCCATGAACTATATATATATATATATATATATATATATATATATATATATATATATATATATATATATATATATATATATATACACACACACACTCTCTAAATCAACCAATTAATATATCATAACTTATAAAAACTCTCGAGTTAAAATAGTTAATTAGTTGAAAGCTAAAGAGTTTTAGCATTAAAGTAATATTTATTACAATTTTAAAAAACCTTTTGATATGTAGTAATTAGATGATAAGTTGAAAAGTTGTAATAAACTACTATAAGTCATGTCATAATATCAAACTTTATCATAATATTTATGCTTTATGATTAATTGAAGGGTCATTCGAGTTTCAAATGCATAAGTTTCAAGTATATTGACAACCTCTATTATAATAGATATATGAGTTTTTGGATTTAAGTTATTTTTGATCACTTAACTTTTGGTTTTGTGCTCATTTGGTCACTTAACTATTTTTAAGTTTTAAAAGGTCATCAAACTTTTGACTATGTGCTAATTTAGTCACTTAACTTTTGGTTTGGTCACATTTAGTTACCTAACTTTTAAATTTGTGCTCATTTAGTCACCTAACTTTTAAAATTGTGCTCATATAGTCACTAAACTTTTAAAATTTTTTAAAAGTTTAGTGACTAAATGAGCACAATTTTAAAAGTTTGGTGACTAAATGTAACCAAAACAAAAGTTAAGTGACTAAATGAGCACAAAGCCAAAAGTTTGATGACCTTTTAAAACTTAAAAAGAGTTAAGTGACCAAATGAGCACAAAATCAAAAGTTAAGTGACCAAAAATGACCTAAACCCTAGATATATAAATAGATATATATATATATATATATATATATATATATATATATATATATATGTTATGTGATATGTTATAAATTGTTGTTGTATATTTCAAATAAAAATGATCTTAGATTCACAAAGAACTCCTCCTCATGTAATCCTTTTTCATCATTGCTTTCTCCAATAATATTTTAGGTGGAATTTGTTTGGTTTTGGCCCATGAGGTTAGGCCTGGCAATCGTGTCGTGTTCGGGTTGGCGGGTAAAAAGATACTAAACTGAACACGACCCATTTTAACTATACAGGTCACGGGTTGGTAGGTTTGGAAAATAAACCCATATATGACCCGTCAACCCACTTATTTATACGGGTTCATGGGTCAGATTTGGGTTTATGGGTCAGATTTCATAAATCAAATTGATAATTAAACATGAATAAATTCTTGATGCAAACATATCCGAATTTTAGAAACTTAAGTCTTAAACATCCAAATGAAAATTAAAAACATTCATGGAAACAAGTTCAAACTAAAAAATTAATACAAATATAGATAAATTCAATCGTAGGCATCGACGTCGTTTGATAATGATTCAGTCGTTCATGCCGCCGTTCTTCATGAGTTCGTTCTGTTGTTCATCACAGAAGGGAGACCAAGAGAGGGCTTATTCGATTTTGTTTGTGAGATACTGAGATTATTTAG